GGATGGTCAGTTTGGTGCCAGCTTTATAAACTTAGCCAGGAGGGGAAATCTCCCCAACTCAAGAAGAACCTAAAATAGAAACTAGTAGTTTCTCCGCCCGCTTCCCCGCCTTTACAATTTGCCTCATGATTAGGAAACTAATGATTTCAATCTCTGTGGCTAAGCTGGGGAGATGCTGTTTCCCTTTTCAGGTCTGGAGGAGAATCCACCTGTTCTGGTGTAGCCACACAAAAGGAAAATGGCTGATTTTTGACTTGTGCTGGAAATGCTTTTGAAGAAATAGAACCGGGGTGGCTGCAGGGGCTCCCCATTTCAGAGAACACACCTCTTGATAGGCAAGCAGTGTAGTTTTGATGCCAATTTAGGAGATAATCCTAATCATGAGGATTAGGAATGCCTCTTGCCTTTTTGCAAATTGGAGCTTAAGGTTCTCTGGCCAGGCAAAATACCTATGTGCTACAAAAACAGAGTTTGCCGTGCTCAGTGGAATCTTGTCTGTGCAAAAAGTCTCGATTTCCTCTGCTGATAAGCAGTGCCTGGTGGCCTTTTGCAACCTGGTTTGTCATTTTTTTGCCTTTTTTTTAAAAGCCAAGCTTGAATGTCGGACGGGAGCATTCCTCTAGAACTACTGTTCATGCCATATTTGTCCTAGTTGCTGACCTGGAATGTTACTTGCGACTAAGAGGAGGAAAATAAACAGAGGAAAGTGAACTGTTGAGAGTGAAGTTATTTTATTTAACTTCTTTAATTTCACTTTTCTTCTTGCTAGTAATGCTGTTGTCTTGAACTTTTGCTCATAAAGTTGAGCTTCAAGCCCTTACTAAGAAATCACATAATACAACAGACCACAGACTGTCTATAGAAGCAATTGTAGATTAATTGGCACCTGTATGAACTTGCATTCAAATAGGGAGCCACTGTGTCTCTGGGATTTCCCTTGGCTCCCGACAAATCCAGCCCGGCCTTCCTCTACGTTTTCTGACATGTGGCAAGATACATCGCCCAGCAAAAACAAATGTTGTTGGGGTATTCTGTCTTCTCGTCTCCTGCCACCATGCTTTAAAGAAATATCCAGTTTTACACTCTTAAAAGTGCTGCATTGTATTATTTTAATGTACACTCATTCTCCCCTTCTTAAAAAAAGGAGAGTCAGTTATTTAGGCATTGAAAAACTCTTCAGTAGAGGAAGGTTTGTGCTGTTTCCAGCTAAAGAGTGCTGTTCGGAGCCAGCTTCTGCTGGAAAATTCAGAAAGCTGGTTTCCCTGGAAGACAATCCAGGAGAGAAGTTGGTCTACCCAGACAAAAGTGTACAGGGATGTGGACTTCCAGAAATAGCCTCTCCGAACTATGCTTGTATTTCATTATGTCCTGCATAGAATTGTGTTCTTGCTATTATTTGTCCGGATACAAATACATGCTTCTGTTACCCTGTTTTCTGTTGACAAGCAAGATTTCAGGTTGGGTGTCTCCCTTCCCCAGATCAGACAAGCAGTCTAGTTTGAAGGGAGGAAAATTTTACAGATCTTTGATTGTGGCTCAGTGGAAAGAGCGCACACAAGTGGGGTTTCTGGCTCAGCATTTCCTCAGGATTGGGAAAAGGCCCCTGGGGAATCCGCTCTTTGTTGTTGCAGTAAACAGGGCTGGGCGAAACTGACTCACCTGCCTATGAACGAACCTCGCCAGCTCTGCATTTCTGCTTTTAGCTAGAGGCTCCATAGCTTGGAGAGCCCATCCTGTGACCCTCAAATCCCTCAGGTATCCGGTTCCCAAATGGTAAAGGTAACCAGTCACTGGTGAGGAATGAGCAAATCTTCCCATTTCAATTTTATTTATGTATTTTTAAAATATTTATATGCCGCCCTTCATTCGAGGATCACAGGGCTGTTTACAACATTAAAAACACAAAAACACACATTGTAGTAACAAACAAAACAATAACAACAACATCATACACACCCCAAGTGTAAAAGGTCATGGATTGATTAATTAGCCAAAAGGCCTGGGAGACCAGGAATCTTTTTGCCTGGAGCCTAAAGGGATGTAACAAAGGTTCAAGGTGAATCTTCCTGGGGGGAGAGCATTCCACAAATGGGGAGCCACCACAGAAAAGGCCTTTTCTCATGCTGCCACCCTCCAGACCACTCGTGGAGGCGGCACACAAACAAGGGCGTAGGAGGGTGATCACAGAGGTGGATGATCAAAGGTGTGATATACTCAAACCATCTTAATCCTGCCTTTTAAAATCAGGAATGTGTGTTAGATTTTTCTGTGCTCTGTTTCATGCTGGTCTTAATGCATGGTGTTTATTTGTTGTTACAAGTGAGGTTAGGCTACCTCAGTTTTTTTAAAAGCAACTAATATGTTTAGTAATAATAAGCACTCTGCACGTGCTCTGAGTGACTTGTGAATCCCCATAGCCTGCTGCCCTGTCAACCAAACGTTGGAGATGAGCTCAGCTGTGGAATTTGATCGGCTAAGAGGGACTCCCTTGTTCATAACATTCCAGCCAGGCAGGATGCTTCTGTCTGCAGCTCTGACTTTTCTTTAGTACGCCTCCCCCCAGCCGTCATCTGTTTGGTGGGTGATGCTTTTTTAAGCAGCTGTGTTTCTGTCTCTTGGACTTCTGTCTTCCTTGGCAGGGGAGGGGAAAGAAAGAAAATAAAGCAAATTATAATGGAATGTAAGCGAGTAATGGAAACTTGGATCTGAGCTGACGACCAACGTTTGGATTTTCTCTTGCCTCAGCCTTATTTATAGCTTTCTCCGTCTCCCTCCTTTTAATATATATATATATCTATAACCCAAATAAAAAGATCTTGAGGCCCAGTTTTCCCTCTTCTTGGAGTAGGAGTTTTCTTTATCTGGTATGCAATGGTTCCTGTGAAATTATTTCCTGGCCTTTTTAATTTGATTTGTAATCTCCCTTCACACCATCTCATATTACATTTTCTCCTCCTTCAAGGAACTAAAACCAGCTTAAATGTTTCAACACCCCCAGTTACCCTCACAACAACCATGAGAGGTAAGCCAGGCTGACAATGTTGATTAGTCCACAAGGTCAACTAGGGAGCTTTGCAGCTTAGCATCACCCATCTCTCCCTCTTAGGCCACCTGCAACATGTTGGTGTAAGAACTTTCCTGCACCGCTTTCCCAAAGATGCTCAGGTTGTGGTGAGCTCCCAGCCAGTCAGGGAGACCCAAAATTCCCCTGGGGAACATGAAAAACATGTCAAAGCCACCCCTGTGTTTAAGGACTGTCAGCCAACCAGATTATCTGGTAATACACCCATTGATTGATTGCATTTGCATACAGTGGTACCTTCATTCTCAAACTTAGTCCGTTCCAAAACCAGGGCGCGCTTTCCCATAGAAAGTAATGCACAATGGTTTAATCCGTTCCAGACTTTTAACAACAACCCCTAAAACAGCAATTTAACATGAATTTTACTATCTAAAAAGACCATTGATCCATAAAATGAAAGCAATAAGCAATGTACTGTAGTCACACAATCAATCAATCAGTAGCTGAACTGGGTTCCACACAGTCACAAAAACAAAACAATAAGAGCCTCAAAAACAAAAAAGCAAAATAAATAGCAAAATCACAGACCTCAGTGTAACACTCAAATCGGAAGCACATTCGGCTTCCAAAAAATGTTTGCAAACAGGAACACTTGCTTCCAGGTTTGCAGTGTTCGGGTTCCAAGTTGTTTGAGTACCAAGGCGTTTGAGAACCAAAGTACCACTGTATTGCCAAAACTTCTAAATACACACATTAATCTCTCTTTTTAAAGGCAGTTAAGAAAACGTGACATTTAATATGTAAGGGGCTACACCTCTGTGTTAGGAGGGAAGTCCTCTTTTAGTCTTTCATATTTTTCTCCCTTTTATCTGTGACAGTAACACACGAAAACCAAAGTAGTCATGGAAAACTAACCTGTGCCTTCAACTTCTAAAATTGACCTTGGTAGATTAATCAACAAAAGCTTTAGTGGATTAATCTAAAACAGTGTTATACATATTTCTAAACACACTTGCAAGAGGATAGGGTCACAGTGGCCCACATCAGCCTTCACAATGTTTTGGACGGCAAAAGTTGTAACCTGGACACCTGGAGGGCACCTGGTTGCAGAACGCTTGTCTGTGCCGCATTGCATATCTCTGTTTCCTCCCTTCCTGGGGGCAGGGGAAGGCTAAGTGGAGACATGAGAGTTTATAAAACTACACTTGTTGTGGCAAAAGTGGATAGAAAGAAATTCTCATAATTGGTTGTTTTAGTGAAATGTTCAGGGGCAGAATTTTCTGGAAATGTGATGGCTGCTGGCTCAGAGTGCCTTCAAAAAGGGACTAGGCAACTTCACAGAGGCGGGAAACTGTTGTTGATTGATGTTGTTTCTTATAGAACCTCCAAGTCCAGAGGCAGTCTAGATGTGGATACCAGTTGCTAAGGGTGAACAGCAGGGACAGGCTGCTGGCTCCATACCTTTGTTGGAGGTCTTCCTTAAGAGCAGGCATAGGCAAACTCGGCCCTCCAGCTGTTTTGGGGACCACAAATCCCATCATCCCTAGCTAACAGGACCAGTGGTCTGGGATGATGGGAATTGTAGTCTCAAAACATCTGGAGGGCCCAGTTTGCCTATGACTGCTTAAGAGCATCTGACAAGCTACCGTTTGAAATGGGATGCTTGACTAGATGGCTCTGTGTCCTCATCCAGCAAAGCTCAGTGTGTCTTGTCGATCTTGCCTCTTAAGAACTTTGCGTTGCATTTTCTGCTTTCTTACGCATTATATTATGAAATCGTACTCATTGCAGACTGACTTACAAAGAAAACAGACGAACCATTTTATTACTTCCACAATGATTTTGTCATTTGCCATTTTTATAATAACAAATCATCAGGGCTTGGGGTTTTGGTTTTTTTGTACCTTGGTCCGTGAAGAAGACAAGCCTCTCTCCAGTCTGGATTAACAGCTGTGCCTTCTTCTTTTCCTTTTTTTAGGAACACCAAGAAGGAAGGGGAGCTGCTGACCGCTCAAGCCCGCCTGAAGGACGTCGAGGCCTTGCTGAACTCCAAGGAAGCAGCACTCACCACCGCCTTGGGAGAGAAGCGCAACTTGGAGAATGAGCTCCGTGATCTGCGGGGGCAACTGGCCAAGGTGAGGACCACCAACTTAGCAGTCGCCTTCCCTCTTATCTTACATTTTTCTGCAACGGACTTTAATTTTGCCACTGGTGGTGTGTGGACTTGTGAAGTTGACCCTAGATCAGGCATGGCCAAACTTGGCCCTCCAGCTGTTTTGGGACTATAATTCCCATCATCCCTGACCACTGGTCCTGTTAGCTAGGGATGATGGGAGTTGTAGTCCCAAAACAGCTGGAGGGGCCAAGTTTGGCCATGCCTGCCCTAGATGGTGTAATCTTTAAGAATGTGGAAGACCTCTGGTGGCTCAGACCAAAATGCTGTCTGGGCCAGCTTTCTGTTCCGGCAGCTGCCGGCCAGTTTGCCTCTTAGCGCACCCACATAGGGCCCGGAGGGTGACTGTTGGTTGCCTGTTAATTGACTTCAGTGTCTAACAATCAGGGTAGACTGCCTTGGGTCTTGGAAGTTCTACTTGGCTTTCATGGTTAACCGCTGCAGATAGATTTCCTGCTCTTCCACGAGTTCATCCTAACCTCCTTTTAAAAAGAAAGCAATCTCACCTGGCCAATTGTGTTGTGCTTTCTTTGGTCTGCCAGCCCGTTCCATTGGGTGACCTTCAGTTCTTCAGTTATGGGAGAGGGAGGAGGAAGCTGGCTCCCCCTCCCTCTCCCCACCCCATAGTGAATTCATAAACCCCTGCCTTCATCAACCCTAGTCCATAATTGTACCGGAACCTTTTTTGGAGTGGGTGGGGGGGGAAGTGGGAAGCACTGGAGGTTAGGAAATCTATCCCATGAAGATTTAAAACAGCCAGCAGATGGCAGCACAACCTGCCATCTGGGCAAGGCAGTCCTTTACCCAACAACACCTCTTGGATTTTAAAGCAGGTGAAAGCATGTGGGGTAGACCTCCTGGCTGTCGGTGCTACTTCAGACTGTCGTGGGCAGGAGGATATGTGGTGAAGCACCCTCCCCAGTGCACACACAAAGCTGTTACTCACCCCCTCCCATCTGGAAAGCTTCACTTCCAGGGAGGACTGTACCACATGTCTTTTCTGTATGCTAGGAAGCTGCTTTCAGCAGAAGCTTCTGAGCGCAATAGACGGCCTGGCTTTGCAGAGGGCAGCTTCACCTGTGACCCATCAGAGTGCCAAGCCAGGGCTGGCCCCTATTCTTGGGCTGGTTTTTGGAATCCCAGCAAAGTGGAAATGCACCTGGGTGCTCCCAGAGATTTCCCAGCCCATCTGAGAGACAGTGCTTGAGGAATATGGCAGTCCCTGGCCCAGCTTCAATCTGCCCCCAGTATAATTTATTCATTTCACAAAATGCATATACAGCTTGATTGTAAGGAAAAACCTCAACGCGGTTTGCAGAAAGAATGAAACAATGAAGTTGCTATTAAAAACCGCTTTTTAAAACATTAGAATAAAGTCAAAGAGGAACTAAATACCAGATTGAAACACAGGTCAATGTACTGCAAATCTGGACAGGCTTACTGGAACAAAAACAATTTTAGCAGGCATTGAAAAGAGTACAGTGAAGGCATCTGCCAATGCCAACAGGCAGAGAATTCCACAGTCCTACTACACTAAAAGATTGATTTCTTACAAATGTGGAATGAGTATTATGTGGCATCTGTAACAGGGCCAGTTCCATGGATTCAAGTGCTCGGGTGGACATATATAAAGGCCGCCACGTTTCATCCCATTGACATACTTCTCCCATTCTCTCTTTTTTTCATACCACCCCGTCTCCCTGCCAATCCACCCACAGGCGGAAGCTGCTTTGGCTGAGGCCAAGAAGCAACTTCAGGACGAGATGCTGCGACGGGTGGATGCGGAGAACAGACTGCAGACTCTGAGGGAGGAGCTCGAATTCCAGAAGAACATCTATGGCGAGGTGAGTGGGGCAGCCTGCAAAAAACAGCACATACCCTCACCAACCCCCTGGGCTTGCCCACAATTCCTGTCCCTGCAGTGTAAGGCTGAAGGTTGTTTGGGGAAACCCAGAAGCAGCACCCGAGCACAAGACCCCCCCCCCCCGCCCCTGGCTTCCAGCCATTAATAGCCTTCGTCCCCCATGACTCTTCTTTCCGGCTTCTCCTGCAGGAGCTTCGTGAGAGCAAACGCCGCCACGAGACCCGCCTGGTGGAGATCGACAACGGGCGCCAGCGGGAGTTCGAGAGCAAGCTGGCTGATGCCCTGCATGATCTGAGGGCCCAGCACGAAATGCAAGTCAGGCTGTACAAGGAAGAGCTGGAGAAGACTTACGGCTCCAAGGTACCACCCTGGCCTTAAACTCCTTACCTTTGGCCAGAGAGATGGAGCCTTTTTACACTACTTTTGGTGCCAACCTATTTGTTTATTTCCTCCGGTTTGCGCTGCAGTGGCAGCCTGCTCCTAAGAGACTGTGGAGCTATTCAGGGCTGGCACACCTGTGAGGCAGTCGCCTCAGGTGGCAGATTGGGCCTCCACCTCCACCCGCCTGCTCCTCTCCAGCCTCCTGGAGGCAGGCTGCAGGAGAGGGGGAGGAGAAGAAGGAGAAGGCACCATGACAGCATTGTCTGTCTTGCCTCAAGTGGCAAAACATCCTGGACCAGCCCTGCTTTCCCTTTTTTCCCTTCTCCACCCAACCAGCCCCAGCTAAAAAGCTAGAATTAAAGTCCAGGAGTTAACACTATTTCTCATTTAGGTCCTGTTTGGTGTAGGAAATGTGAGGAGTTCAAGTTTTTGAAGTACAGGCAGTGACCCCTTTTGTGCGGGGGCCACATTACACACTGTGTGTGTCTGCTTGCTCTGCCCTTCTCTGCTTCTGCCACCTTCCTGGTTGCAGCAGTGCGCACGTGCACGGTTGCACGTCAGTCGGCCGCTGCCTGCATTCAAAGGACTGCTCTTCCAATGGTCCTGGGTGGTTCTCCCCATTTTGCAGGCTGGGTGCGAGGGCTGTGAGGGAGTGGATTGCAGCAGCCCTGTAGTGTAGTCTACGGATAGTCGCGTGTGTTGGATGCGGCACTGAGCTTGAGAGAAGAGTGGTTTGCAACAACCCTGCATTGTGGGGCCATATCTAATACACCAGTGTTTCCCAACCTTTTTTGGGCAAAGGCACACTTGTTTCATGAAAAAAATCTCGAGGCACACCACCATTAGAAAATGTTAAAAAATTTAACTCTGTGCCTATATTGACTACCGTATTTTTCGCCCCATAGGACGCACCGCCCCATAAGACGCACCTAATTTTTTGGGGGGAGAATAAAGAAAAAAAAATTTTTCCCCTCCCCAGGCACGGGGCAGGCGCGGGGGAAGCCCAAGCTTCCCCCGACCCCAGAACAGCCTGATATCCGCAAGCCTAGGGAGCCACACTGGTCTCCCCAGGCTTGCGGAGAGGTGCGTGAAGCCCGGGGGCGCTCTTCAGCGCGCACCAGGCTTCGGGATGCAGGCAGCTCTGCGCTACCCTCCAGAGCCCCGTGCGGCTTCGCGCTGGGATCCGGGGGGTGGCGCGGAGCTGCAAGAAGCCCTGGAGCGCAGGCAGCTCCGCACCACCCTCCGGAGCCCCGCGCGGCTTCGCGCCAGGATCCAGAGGGTGGTGCAGAGCTGCAGGAAGCCCTGGAGCCCAGGTAGCTCCGCGCCACCCTCCAGAGCCCCGCGCGGCTTCGCGCCGGGATCCGGGGGGTGGCGCGGAGCTGCAAGAAGCCCTGGAGCGCAGGCAGCTCCGCACCACCCTCCGCAGCTTCACGCCGGGATCCGGGGGGTGGCGCGGAGCTGCAAGAAGCCCTGGAGCGCAGGCAGCTCCGCACCACCCTCCGCAGCTTCGCGCCGGGATCCGGGGGTGGCGCGGAGCTGCAAGAAGCCCTGGAGCGCGGGCAGCTCCGCGCCACCCTCCGCAGCCTCCTACGGAGGGCGCCCCGTGCTCCTGGCTGCCGCCCGCAAGCCGTGCACGCGGGGGGGGGGGAGTTCCCCTGGGCGCGCAAGGCTTGCGGACAGCTGCGCGAAGAACGGGGCGTCCTCCAAAGGACGCCCCGCGCTCCGCGCTGCAGGCTGCCGCCCGCAAGCCTTGCGCGCCGGGGGGGGAGTTCCCCCAGGCGCCCAAGGCTTGCGGACAGCTGCGCGAAGCACGGGGCGTCCTCCAAAGGGCGCCCCGCGCTGCAGGTTCCCGCCCCCCGCCCCGCTTCGGAGCCTCTCCCGCCTCCCTCCCACGGCACACCAGGCAAGGTCTCACGGCACACTGGTGTGCCGCGGAACACCGGTTGGGAAACACTGTAATACACGATCATAATCACTATTTCCCTCTCTCTCTTACTCACCCTCTTGTACAACAATCAGGGCTGTTAAATATTGTTTTGAAACACTGCATTGAAATACCATCACCGCTCCCAGATAGCCATTTTTCGTCAGTGGCTGGTTTGGATTTCCAGAAGTTAAAAAAAACCAGAAACCACCTCCACTTGCGGTGCAGGTTAAAGATATTAAACTGTGTTCCCAACCCACTGCAAACTAATGTCCAGTGCTGGCTGGGGGCTGATGGGAGCTGTAGTCCAAGATGGCCATGCTGGCTGGGGGATGTTGGGAGTTGTGGTTCAAAGCATCCAGAAGGTTGGTGATGGCTGCTTTAGACAAAGGCAGCCCATGTCCCAGAAAGTTCCTTTCTGTCCTTCTTTCTGGAGCGCCCAGTTTCTTCTGTGCCTCATCGCGGCCCATCTTCCTTTTCAGCTGGATAACGCCAAGCAGTCAGCCGAGCGGAACAGCAGCATGGCGGGGGCAGCCCATGAAGAGTTGCAGCAGACTCGCATCCGCATCGACAGCCTGTCGGCGCAGCTGAGCCAGCTGCAGAAGCAGGTGAGGGATTGGGAAGGGTCACAGGGACAGGCGGCCAGTGCTGTGCTCTCTGTTTTAAGTGCTGTTGGCTCCCTGGATGACACTGCGGCACTGCTGAATGTCTTTGCCCAGGGTGCTCTAAATTGAGGCCTATTCCTCCAGCTGAGTAACGGCTACATTGCACTGAAACGCTGCCGACTTAACTCTTAAGGGATTTTGAGCGAAGCCCTTTCTGATTTCCAACCCTGTAGAGTAATACTGAGCACCACCACCCTGTGAGGATCTAGTGAATTTCTAGCCCACCTCCATGCCCCTTGTGCTATTGGCCTGCTCCACCTACCAGCTCCTCTCTTATTCCTCCTTCCCAGCTCTCTGCCAAGGAAGCGAAGCTGCGTGACCTGGAGGACGCTCTTGCCCGGGAGCGCGACACCAGCCGCCGCATCCTGTCTGAAAAGGAGCGGGAGATGGCAGACATGCGGGCCCGCATGCAGCAGCAGCTGGATGAGTATCAGGAGCTGCTGGACATCAAGCTAGCCCTAGACATGGAGATTAATGCCTACCGCAAGCTTCTGGAAGGAGAAGAGGAGAGGTAGGTTCAGGGCTGGGAAAGTTGACCCAGGGGGGCTGGCGTCAAAACACAGTGGTCTCCCTCGGACGGTGGCCTCCTGTTCTTTCTGTGTTGGAGGGTCCGGCTGTAGGTTGAGTGGAAAGTTTGGTAAATGGGTCTTCTCTTGGAAAAGAACAGAATGAAGAGGCAGGATGCTGAATTAGATGGGCCATTGGGCTGATCCAGCAGGGCTCTTATGTTCTTAGTTTCAGCTCCTGCATGCATTTGAAGACAAGTCACCTTGACGCCCTCTCCCCTCTCTTCTCCCCTCTGCCAGGTTGCGTCTCTCCCCCAGCCCCACCTCCCAGAAGGGGGGCACCAGGACACGCATCTCCCACTCTTCTATGCAAAGCTCTTCCAAGAAGCGGAAGCTGGAGGATGGAGAGAGCCGCACTAGCTATTCCCACCATGCCCGGACCAGCGGCCGCGTGGCTGTGGAGGAAATAGACCTGGCAGGGAAGTTTGTCCGCCTGAGGAACAAGTCGAATGAGGTGAGTTACCTTGTGGTGGGGACGGGAGTGCCTTGCTGCTTGGCAGAAATCCTGGGGTGGTCAGGAGGAAGAGGAGGGGCATGTTCAGCTGAACATAAGGCAGATCTTGATGAGCTTTTCAGTCCTCGGCCGCATTCAAAATTCACCAGGTGCCAGGCGCATTTTGCGCCATCAGCATGCCCATCAGCTTAGTCTCAGTGCTGCTGTTGTAGAACTCATGAGGGGTGGGGAAAGGGCTAGAATTATTTGTCTCTGCTTCCCAATGCCTCTGGCGCCACCTGCTGTTGGGCTCCTTGCCTTCCGTCCTACCAAGCCCAACGGGCATCAGCTGCCGCTTTTGTTTAGATATCCTAGCATCAACCAATGAAGGAATACAGAAAATAGAACCTCATCAAGCACAACTCTCTATAAGAAATAGGAGCATATTGTACACTGAATTATCTCAGTGCAACTCAGAATAACATGAGTTTAAAGAATATATATATCAACAGTCTCAGATCCATCTTGAAGAGATCTATACAATCTTAAAGATTACTATTCAATTTGGACCGACCTGAAGAAGGGTATCGAAAGAATTTTATCCGAATGTCTCATTGTCGGAGTCCTCCTCATACAGTTTCTCAACTACAAGATTTAACACAGAGAATCTGTACCCTGGTCTTCATTTGAATTACATTACATTCGAACTCTTGAACCTGGTGACAGTATATATCTCTTTAAGTTTGATCTGAGGATGTATATATTATTTAAGTTCACATTAGTCTGAGTTATACAGTGGACCCTCCAGATATGAACTTAATTCGTTCCGGGGGTCTGTACATACCCCAAAAAGTCTTCATCTAGAGGTGCCGCTTCTGCACACACTTACCATGGCCATCTCTCTTCTGTGTTTTTTTAGGACCAGTCCCTGGGAAACTGGCAGATCAAGCGCCAGAATGGAGACGAGGCCCCCATCTCCTACAGGTTCCCCCCCAAGTTCACCTTGAAGGCAGGCCAGCTGGTTACGGTGAGTAGCTGCGAGCCTCGTGCAAAGCAGAAGTGCATAATTCCCAGGACGGGGCCAGCGACTGCGTGAGGAGGAGGATGGATGTGGCGCAGCCCCCTGAACCTCCTCCAATATGCAGCACTGTTGTATGTTGGCATCTCCCTTGTTGACTTTCTCTTCTTCCTCTCTGTCCCCACTTAAGATCTGGGCCTCTGGTGCCGGGGTGACCCACAACCCTCCTAGTGATATGGTGTGGAAAAACCAGAGCTCATGGGGAACTGGAGACAGCTTGCGCACCGCTCTTCTCACCTCTACAGGAGAGGTAAGGCACCCTGTGGTGGATGGTTGGGGCCGCTATTCCTCAGTGAGGCCAGAGCTGTTGCTGTTCAAAGCCCAGGACTCCATTACATTGTCCTTTGCTTACAGCTCTCATGTTCCCCTCTTCCTCCTGTTATGTCTATGAATTTATTGGGGTGGGGGGCAACCTTTTTCATCCAAAGGACGCATTTCCTCATGGGGTGAGCAGAGCAAACAAAATGGGTGGAGCCACTGGTGTGACACATTCCTCTGTACAGTTGGCTAGGTTAAATAACCACATGCACATCTCCCCCCATCCTCCTCATATCCTTATCAGGGATCCATTCCTGCCAGGCAAAAGAAAGCCAGTGTGGTGTAGTGGTTAAGAGCGGTAGTCTCGTAATCTGGGGAACCGGGTTCGCATCTCCGCTCCTCCACATGCAGCTGCTGGGTGACCTTGGGCTAATCACACTTCTCTCTGAAGTCTCTCAGCCCCACTCACCTCACAGAGTGTTTGTTGTGGGGAGGAAGGGAAAGGAGAATGTTAGCTGCTTTCAGACTCCTTAGGGTAGTGATAAAGTGGGATATCAAATCCAAATTCTTCTTCTCCTCCTCCTCCTCCTCCTCCTCCTCAGAGTGTGGGTGGTGAGTATGGCCTGGAGTGCCCCACCTCTTAATTTAAATTATAGGATACTGCTCTGGTCACTTCAACACCATCTATCTAGAGCAGGTGGCTTCCCCCAAAGAATTATGGGAACTGTAGTTTGTGAAGGGTGCTGGGAACTGTAGCTTAGCTTGAGTTCCCAGTGTGGATGTGACTCCTCTGTTGACTGTTACATGCCCATTTTTAAAAAGAGGTTTAAGAGACGGTGACAATTTAACTGCTCCCAAACCCCTCTTCCCAGTACTAAGACCAGGTTATTGTCCTCTCTGTCCGCCTGACAGGGCCTCTTTGACATAAAGCCAAGTTGAAAGAACAAAGTGCCAGCAACTCACCTGACATCCTTTCTTTTTTTCCCCTCTGCAGGAAGTGGCCATGCGGAAGCTGGTGCGCACTGTGATTGTCAATGATGACGATGAAGATGATGAGGATGAAGATGGGCGCCACCACCACCACCATGTGAGTTTTCTGGGGTTCTCTGCTAGCAGGGGGAGCGGCTGCAGAGCAGGCATGACTTACCCTCTCACTGAAGGCTTCCATGCGCTACTGCAATGCTCCTAATAAAGGAGGGCATTAAAAGCCCACGGAAGCACGATAGGCTGCTGCTCTTGCCTGGGGCCTCTCCCCCCGTCTCTTCCTGTATTTTAGCACATCCCTGTACTCTGTATTAGCTTGGTCTGTCCTGATTCCTGTGCTCCTTTGATTTTTTTTTCTTTTTTTTTCTTAAATAAAATTTTATTAGGGTTTTTACATTACAAAATAGAAAAAGAAAAAAATACAAAATAAAAGTAGTTAAAAACAATCAATCTTTTCATCACATTATTTTTCATTTACTTGTTTCCCGGACCTCCTCATACCTCCCTTTTTTGTATTCCAGTTCAATTTATTAGCTCAGCAGTTTCTTTCCCTCTTTATTCTACCCAGATCTTTAATCTTAAATTATTATAACATTAAATTTTTACTTATAAAAAACCATTTTTTTCATATTCTTTTATACCATTAGCTAGAAACCACTTAATTTCTGTGCTCCTTTGATTTGGTCTATAATTTTTGTTAGCTTTCTCTCTTACCCCAAAGTACAAAAGAAAAACCGCAAACCATAGGCAAACATGGTTTTTTTGCACAATAGCCCACCAACAAGATGAATACAGTGCTGAAACATGCATTTCTCCTATATTTCATAGTATGACATGTACATTAATTCGGTACAAATCGTGGGGGGATATTACCAGGTGCTGAACCACATTCTCCGCTTTCCTTGCAGGTTTGAAACCCATATTTTAAACTGAAGATCCCTGGTCCAAGACTGTATTTCAGTCAGTTACACCCAATGCTGTGGAGACTGACCTTCCAATCTCTTGTCTATTAGTCAATAAAATAAAATCAAACTGAGAAAATAGAAATGAATCCTGTTTACACCGTCCTCTCATTAATTTTAACTTATGAGACAATTTCTGTAATAGGACAAGTTGCTAAACTTTCTACAACCAATAATTTTAGAGCCCCATTTTAAAACAGCTGCATTGGTTGCCAGTTCGTTGCTAGGCCCAATTCAAGGTGCTCATGTTAGCACTGAAAGCCCTAAATAACTTAGGTCCCAGATACCTGGAAGACCACCTCCTTCCTTACAGACCCTCTCTGGTGTTAAAATCAGATGAGTTGGGCCCTCTTGCTAGTTCCACATCCCTCAGAGGTTTGATGGTGTCCCCAGAGAGGGCCTTTTCTGTGGCAGCCCCTGAGTTTGCATGGTCAAAGTTTGCTCCCACCAGAGTTTAGAAATGTTTGCACCACAACCATGAGCTTGATTAGCTCTTCTTTGCTGTGCACAAGGAACACAAGCAAACTCAGGGATGGCCTCGCCTTGCACCCCAGAGATCAATTTGCTTAAAGTCTAAACTTATTCTTAATTTCACCCCCAAGACTATACATAAATTTAGAGCCAAATTTCATGCTTTTAACTAAACCAATTTGAAATGCCCATTCCACACAGTCAAGCGTCTGAAAGATGCTAAGCATGTTTCTGCTTACCACTACTACTAACAATAATACTTATTAATACTTAATATTATTAATTTCCAAAAGGAGACCAAACTGGGATAAAGCCAGTTTGGTCCACATGGATGTAATCACCTATAATTCGTTATAAGCAACCGTCAAGGACAGAAGCGAAACTCTTATAGTGTCTTTGCTGGGGGGGGGGTGACATTTGGCGTACTGCCTGCCTGCAACTCCCAAGCCTACCCCGAGCCGTCGGGGGAAGGGGGGAGCTGCGGCGCTTTGCTGGCGGCATTCCCCCCACCCACCCCCTTCATTTTTACAGGTGGGGGAGGCTTGGGAGTGGCGGGCGGGCAGCACACCGAATGTCCGACATGGGCGGCTCACTCCGGCACCCATGCGGCTATTCCGTGCCTGGGAGGGCACCCGCCCCACCCCGCCCCCCTCGGAAGCGCATCTGCCCTGGGCAGTGCGGGCATATGCTCTGCCGCTGCAGCCACCCACAGCCAATGCAGAATTGAACCCTCCCCTCCCCTCCATCAGCTGATATCACATTGCTCTCAGTTGATGGACAGGTAATTGAGGTATAGGGGAATTGGCCTCTTCGGCCAAATTAGACCCCCTGGTGGGCCAGATGTTCTCCACCCTTTTAATTCCTCCCGTATATCACCTTCCTGCTTCTAAAGGATTGCTAAAAAGATATTAATTTGCATACTTTTTTAAATATTCCCTTTCAAATCTCCCCATCCATAGGGTTAATTCCTCCTCTGAAAAGCTTTCTAAACATCTGCTGCAAAATTTTCAATTGCACACTGTTAGGCACATACGCAGATCCCAAATCATAACCTAGTGCATGGCTTTTGCTTTTTCCCTTCAGAAGAATAAATAAAACATCCGTTGCTATCCTTCAAAACTTTTTCCCCGCATCTAATCGAAAGTTTCGGTGATTCTGTCTCTGCGTTGGAGATGGGGAAGCTGTGTCACTCCCGACAGTGGACTGCAACCACCATCCTGCCTGGAGCCGAGCGTCTCAGCAGCCCCAGGCAGGCCGATTGGTTCCCCATCCCTGTTCTCTGTGTGGTTCAGCTTCTGATCTTCCTCCTCCTCTAGAGCCACTGCAGCGGCTCTGGCGACCCAGGCGAGTACAACCTGCGTTCCCGCACTGTGCTTTGCGGCACCTGCGGGCAGCCGGCAGACAAGGGGGCCAGTACCACCAACGCTGCGACCAGCACCCTGTCCTCTGGCTCTTCCTCTTCCAGCCTCACCATCACACGCAGCTACCGTACCGGAGGCAGCAGCCTTGGGGAGAACCTGCTCCCCCGGACCTACATCCTGGGCAATTCCAGCCCACGCCAGCAGGTCAGTAGGTTGAGCTTTTGGGGGCCAGAATTTAGGGGAAATCAGCAGGGAGGGAGTCCCATCATTAACTGTAGCATCTGATGTGGCATTGTCAACTGTTAACGTCTGGAGACCCTTGAAAACACACAAGGACAAGTGTGAAATAACATTCCCCAAATGCTTCCAGCAAGACCCTATCAGAACAGCAAACAAAGAGTAAGCATTGGGCACAGCCCAACTTGGTGTGGACCCATGGAAGTTAAAGGGCATGGCTCTCTTAGGCCCATCAATTTCAGTGGGTTTACTCTGAGTAGAACCTATTTCACTACAACCCTACGTGTCCATTATCACTGCGGAGAATTTGTCTAACTTTAAAAAGGCCTCACAAGGCTTTCCCCAAACGACAGATGCTGTCCATTTGCATTTCTCTATATGAATGAAATCGGTCAGTTTTGCCATGAATGCTTCTACCATGTTTCTGCACCTGTTTGTTAAGCGATGGTGGATTAAGACTGTTGGAGGCGACTGAAATGTGGCAGCTGTTTTAACAAACCAGATCAGGTTGCTTGAGGTGCATAGAAATTCCCAAGTGATGTGCACAGGGGACTTGGTGATAACGAGAATGACTAGAGATTGGGGAGAAAGTTGGTTCACCTTTTTATACAAACCCACCTAATTCACAGTTTGGGGGGTGCAAATTTGATACACGGCTACCCTTTGAAATTTGTGTTTGTCTGAATCTTGCAATTGACAACCAAAAAAATGTGTACAAAGCTGTGTATATATGGGAAAGGTGGGAGCAGTGTGGTGCAGTGGTTAGTGTTGAACTAGGACCTGGGAGACCAGAGTTAAAATCTTCCCCTGGCTGTGTGACTTGGGCCAGTCACTGCCTCTCGGCCAAACCTGTCCAAAAGGGTTGTTGGGATTAAATGAGGAAGGAGAGAACCATGTAAAGCACTTTTAGCTCCTCGGAGAAAACGGTGGGATATAAATGCAATAAATAATACATAAAATGCAAATGTGAATGCAAATAAAATTAAAATTATATTAAGGAGAATTGCTTGCCAAGTGTGGATTTTAGGGGAAATTCCATACAAAAGAATGTATCAAGAGAAATGCTTATCAATTTCTTTGGGGTTACTTTAAAGAAAGAAAACTGATGTCCAAATGTGGACAACTAAATTTAATATTTGAAAAATAAAATCTGGAACTGACGGATTTGTCCGTCCCTAAGAATAATGCAGGGTCAGACTTAACTGAGCTGCCCACTGTCTTCCAGAAACTCTCAATCTTATTGCAACGCCACATAGTACAGGCGCCATCAGTTTCAGACTTCAAGCACTTTCAGCATCTATCTCAACTGCTATGAATTTTTGCTAAAGAAAAAGGGATTTGATGCCGGCAATAAAAATATTGTATTGACTAAACAGTGAAACTACTTGCCCTCTTGCAAGAATAAAGGACCAGGCATGATTTGTAATAACCATTGGGTTATTTCAGGGCAATGAGGGAGAGTCCAACTTTCTCCCTGTGGTGTTGGAATTCCATGTCTCTCCTCAGTCACCTTCTGAACTATAAAAAATCCCCCAAATTCTTTGTCCTTTCCTTGGAGGGGAAGGTGCTGAACCTGCAGGAGCACATTGGCTAAGTCATCACGATTTCTTTCCTCAGAATTTTGACTGAGTCTATATGTATATTTTAATGTATGGGTTTTTTGTGGGTGGGGGTTTGAGTTCCCTTTGTTAAAAAAAGCTTCTAATCAGTTTAAATATTATTAATAAAAATCTTTCTCTCTGTGTGTCTCCCTCCAGGGCCCTCAAAACTGCAGCATCATGTAAACCTGCCGCTGCTCCCTGACAACGCTCACAGCCTGCTAGACAAAAAGCAACTTATTCCTTACATGCACAGAAGAAACGTTTATAAAAGGAGTTATTTTCTACTGCAGGAATTTATACTTTATTATTACATATCGAGATATATAAAAATATATATAAATGCTAAAGATGCTTCAGGGGTTTTTTAAGAATTTTTTTTTCTATAACAAAAAGAAAAGCTTTAAAAAAAACCACAACCAAGCCAAAGAAATTTGAGTTATTGGTGCCAAAAAGGAGGGGGGAAATGTTTTACTTTAATATCTCCTTAACATAGGGGTGTGTATATGTACAGAGATATATATAGAGATTTTTCATTGGAATACCAAAGGTTTCTGTATGTAAAAGGAAAAAAGATAAACAGCCAGCAGAGACGAGGCCCTCTTGGTTTCATATTCTCCCCTAGGGACAAACTCTGAGAGGGATTTTTGCACTTGCTGTTTCCCTGTGGGATACACTAAAGATGAATTATACTCATAAGCCACTCTTGGCTAACAGCAGCTGTAACCCACAGTTAGCCCCCACACCTGAGGTAAAACAGTTTGACTCTCATAGAGACACCCTCTTGGTTCAGAGTGGAGCCTTGTTTACAGTGTCAATGTGAGACTCTTCTTTTAAATAAAACCCACATTAATTTCAGTCTAAATTCTGGTCTGAGATCCTGGACAGGAAATGTACCATACTTTAATCCAATGTCTGTTGTCAGGCTGTTTTACTCGATGCTGATGAGGCCCTCTAAGGCAGTTACAATGCAAAACAGCCCTTAAACTGACCGGGATTATAAATCCGCTTCATCTTAAAATTTAGTTTGCACCCCTACTTTTCACCCACTCAGAATAAATACAAAATAATCGCTGGTGTGAATGAACCAAATTCAGATGAACTGCATCCACATTTGTGCCTTTAAATGAAGAAATCTAGATTTAGCTCTTCCCACCATGCAAAACAGCTCATATACTATACTTGTCCCGATGTGTACTTTTGATGCCCCTCCTGACAGTTTTGGGGGTGCACATGACAACTTAACACCCACTTTTGCTTCAAGGAAATGTTTCGGCTCAAAAATTGAAACCACCTTCCTTTGGCAAACAAGCATGTAAGATTCCCGCATTGTAAGAGAAGGCTGTTGGCAGCTGGGGCTTGACAGCTGTCCGGTCCAAAAACAATTCTCTCCAAAGCTTTTTCTCTCTGCCTCTCTGCCTTGCTTTGCTCGAGTTGCAGCTGCTGTTATCCCTCCTCCCCTCCTCCTTACAGCCAACTGCTATGCTACAATAGCCAATATAAATGCTGTTGGGTTGACATTTATGTACTGTATTGTTCTTTGGCGGCGCTTTGAGGGAGAAAGGGGTGGGTGGGCGTGTATCGGCTGGTGTCCGCGATGTGCCTTGGCAAGGATGGTCTTCGCCAGACTGGCAGCCCAGAAGCAAAGGACGGCAGCTCCTTGCTGAAAGATGGCTGCCGTAGCTAGTGCTCTTGTTTTGGTTGCCTTTTTAAGGGCTACGGGAAGGTGTAGTGAACGTTCGGGGAAAAGTGCCTTTTGATTTCAGTTCCGGGACCAGCTTTTTTTCTGTGCCTGAGTTTGACTACGATGCCCTAAACGGGCTGTTGAGCTACAAAGCTTCCTAGCCAAAGCACCAGGTAGGTTTGGGGAGTTTTGTAGGTCTTTTTAGTCCCCACCCCTTTGTGATATCAGAGCAGCCGATGCACAGTCAGGGAAGCCGCAGCGCCCAGCAACAAAGTCTACTCTCTCCAAAGTGGGGCTGCCCCACGGAGCTTTTTCTCTCATTGATGTGCATGGGGCAGCCCCTGTCAGCCTTGAGGCCCTTGTTTGTCTCCGACTAAGTCTGGATTCCCACCATGGTCTTCTGTTGGTGGGGTCCTGTCTGCAGAGATTGTTTCTCTTCCCTGCCCAGCCGAGGATTCAAAAAGGCCACCTTCTCTTGCAGCAGACAGTTGGGTCTCCTCAGTTTTCAGATGTGTGTCTCACGTTAAGTTTGGAAGACACACCAGATCAAAGTCACCTAAGGGTGCAGTGAAGTCTCAACACAAGCAGGGTCAGGCACAGAGAATCTGTCTAGGTCCAAAATGTGATCCAGAAACAAGGTCAATAGCGCAGAGAGAGTTCAGCAAGGTGGGGGAATGAGGCCTGTGTTGCTTCTAGCAAATGGAAGGCCCAAGTGGGGGCCTTGTATACTCTGGCCTCCCAAACACATTCTTAACAGGCAGTGAAGGAGTATCACAGACCCCCTGCTTGTGAGTAGGCCTAGGACTCTGGGTCTGTAAGCACATCCTGCATGGTTCCTCTCTAGCCTGGACCGAAAGTGGCATGGCAAACCCCATAATCCACAACCATGGGCTGTACTGTCTGGGGCTGATGGGAGTCCCAACACCACCTGGAGAGCATCATGTTGGCAACCCCTGATCTACCCTAAATTGGGCCCGGTTGAATTGTGAGCTCTTTTGTGAGCTGTACATACAGACTGGCAATATTGGGTGCTCTGAAAAAGATCCCATTTGATCCCTTCAGCCAAGAGTCATCTGGTCACTTCTCAAGGATCCACAAATTTGCTGAGCTTCTGAATAGGACCTAGAGAAATCTTCAGAGTTTTGAGGGCGTTCTGAAGGGGCTCTGATTTTGCCCTAGCCTCTGCCCCTCTCACATGTGTGTGTCTCAGAAAGGGATCCCCCCTTCACCCTTGAACAGCAGCCACTTTCCCTGTGGCCCACAGTTCAAATCTTTATTTCCCTTGTAGAAAGTTTTTTTAAAATGCTCTCCACTGTGGAACTAGAGTGAGGTGTGTGATGGGACCGGGGGACACATTTTCCATGCACACATATATCCTTGCATGCGGCTTTGGATTGCAGGCAAATAACTTTCCTCAGGAACCTCTGGGCAGCTTCGTTTGCCAGTAGCTTGCCAGTAGCTTGCAATGCACCCTCCTCGATGGGGCAGCAGCGTAGCAAAACCCATGCTGTGTGTTGCAATGCGCCTGTTCTCTTGCCTTAATTCGGGTGGGGGTAGGGCATGGTGCAAAATTAAAACACTAAACCGAAAACGTGCCTGCCTGCTGCCAGCTGCAATCTTGCTTCTCGTTTGTTTTTTGTCTTTGCAAGAGTTTCACCCCGATTCAACACCCACCCATGTCATTGCTCTCTTTCTCTCAGATGCCCCCCTCTCTAGCAAGACTCAACCACCCAAAACAATTCTCCAGGGGGAAGCCAGTGCTTTTGTTAGGGAGTTTTTTGTGCTGTTGACCTCTGCTGCGGCCTGCGTTTGCTGTTCATGTGGCAGTAGTGCTCCTGTATTTTCTTAAACCAAATACACTTAAAAAATGTCTACCAAACCAGCCTTTTGTGTCTTCCTTCATTTTTGCATCGGACACCACTGTGGTATCTTAATCTATGGTACGAAGCTGGGAAGTGGGGCTTCATGGCCTTTAATGTAAGTGGGCCTTCCTGGGAGAGCGGGGCCTTGGCTCCTTGCCCTTGCCAGTTCATGAGAAGAGGGTGCTCCATATTTCCTCACCGGTGACCTCCTGGGGGGCTGCACACTAGAAACTGGCAAAAAGTGAGGGGGGGGTGAGAGGCAAAAGTAAATCCACAAGAGGAGAAATGCTCCTGAAGTAGATTACATCGCTACGCTGATGTCAGACTCGGCCTAGGCATCAATTTACCAAAACCAGCAACAATGTAATGCAGCTTTTCAGCCTCCCTAGACTGACTCGCAAAATGAATATGTAATGCAGGTTGAGGAAATCATTTTCAGTCAGGGCGACCTCGAGGACAACCTTCCAAAAGCCGAACACGAGGAGGCCGCAGCGGGTGTCAGCTACATATCCCAGCCACGCAAAGTAACAAAGGCACTTGAGCATATTGTGGACTGTCAGTCAGTCAGATGGGCACTACCATCCACTGACTTGTAAAGACAAATTTAATTTTAAAGGTGTGGCTTATATTCAGGCCAATACGGTACAACTTCAGATATTTTGGCCACTTGTGTGGCAATAAATTCATCAGTCCCCTTGAGGAAGGAACTCAGGAGGCTTTCTGAAGATTAAGCAGAAAACTTGCCATGAAGAGGATATATTATGTGTTCTTTGAGCCCCTGATGGAAACATCCAGAAAAGAACACGATAGATTGGCCTCTGCACAGTTAACACAGACCACGTCTGTCTGGGTCTTGGGTCAATCTGCCATCTAAAATATGTGAAGGTAAGACACTGAAATGAGCCCAAAAAAGGTTCTTCTATACTTGGGTATTCTTATAAAAATGTTAAATATGGCATACTGTGATTAGAAGCGCACCCAGGTCAGGCCTAACGACCATGGATGGTACCAGGTTCAATCAATTCTTGACGGTTAAAAAGGATTTCACACAGTGGTGCTCTGGGACGCCCATAAATGTTAATTAACGTTCTAGAAAGCCACCAAGCCAAATTAAATTTTTATGACTGCTTTTAATTTTATATTTATAATCATTTCTGAAACGGCTGTGAGTGAGCTGGCACAGGGTGAAACCTGCTCCAGTTACAGTTCTGCCCCCGCCCAAACCCCCAACCTGGAGAAGCTTTTAACCAGGAGGAGGAGAAACTCAGGCCTCCAGATCCTCCATGATGTTCAACTCAAACCCCATCAGCCCAAACTAAGGATGGAAGAGAAATTAAATTCAGTTCACATTGAACAATGACCCTACCCAATTCCAGCTTTCCAAAACAATATCTGCACTGCAAAGGCAGACATCATTTGACAATCGCAATAAATTCTTCCTTCAGTGTCATTGGCCCAGTATTGTGGGTAGGGTTGCCACATGTCTGGAATTTCCCAGACATAACTGGAATACTGCAGTCGGAAGTAGTGTCTAGGCAGAAATTGCAAAAAATGTCCGGGAGAAAATCCGGGTGCATATATAGCAACTCACGTCGGCAGTGACGTTTTTGGTGATTTTCCTTTAAATTAGCTCCAAAATGTTATTTATTTTTTGCAATTTTGCCAAAGATGATCAACAGCTTTGCTCCCAAAAGCTCAAGAACTTTTGTGTCTGGATTTTCCACTTTTTGAAATACGGCAACCCTAATTGTGGCAAACTCTTCCATGCCTCGTGGATGTCTTCTACTACAATCTCTATTAAGCACAGTCAGCAAAACGACAGGAGCAAGAAGGCCCCTCCACCACCATCCCCAGTTGCCTTAAGGATGTTCCAGCCTAGAGCTTTGAACATACAGTATATATTGGAGACCAGGGGTCAGCAAACTTTTTCAGCAGGGGGTCGATCCACTGTCCCTCAGACCTTGTGGGGGGCAAGACTATATTTTGGTGGGGGGATGAACGAATTCCTATGCCCCACAAATAACCCAGGGATGCATTTTAAATAAAAGCACACATTCTACTCACGTAAAAACATGCTGATTCCTGGACCGTCCGCAGGCCGGATTTAGAAGGCGATTGGGCCAGATCTGGCCCCTGGGCCTTAGGTTGCCTACCCATGTTATAGACTCTGTCTTGTGCATTTAGAAGTTGTGGCCACTAGAGGTCAGGATTGCCTTCTCCAAGGCTTCATTCTGTAAAGCTGCCACCAGGAACCTGGTGCCCTCCAGATAATTTGGAGCACAACTCCGTTGGACTGTAGTCCAAAATATTTTGAAGGCTCAAAGGCGGCAAAGGCTGATACAAAGGGATCTGGAAGTGCTTCCAGATGGTGCCTGTCATGATTGTTATGCTGTTCTCCAGCAAACCTTAAGAATGTGAGAAACTTTGGACCAGGCCAATGGCTCATCTAGTCCAACACCCTGTTCTCACAGTGGCCAACCAGATGCCTGTGGGAAACCTGCAAGCAAGTCATGAGCAGTTTCCAGCACCTGGTATTCAGAAGCATTCCTTCTTCCAACCCTGTTTTCCCTATGATATAAATTAGGGTATGTGTATTCCAAGTGCAAATTCAATTCCAAGTCTCATAGTTCAGCAATCTACACTACACCATGTCGCTTCAGGGTAGGCTAGCACCCTGATACGCTAGCAAGCATCGTACCACACCAAAGCTTGGTTTCCATAATGCAAACACCATGGCTATTATTTTTTTAAAAAACGTTTATCTTGCTCTTTATCTGAAAAGGGGCTCCCAGAATGGCTTACAAATGCCTTCAAGCTTACAGCCTAAAAGACATGGCACAAAAGGAAAAGCGATGAGGAGGGAGGAGGGTAAAAGAAAAAAAAGCTCAGAGGCTAATTATTAGTGTCACAGTAATTGAATCCTAGAATAGAGTTGAAAGTGATCCCAAGCGTTAGAGGCTGGATCTAGACAAATTTTTTAAAAAGCATTTCGAGAAAATGCGTTGTAAACGTCATAGTGGGAAATCATGTTGGCGAAAGATGGGACTCTGCAGCGCCATCTGGTGTCACAGTGTTATAATGCATATAAAGTGCCTTTTCTTTACTAATGTAGCTGAGTCCTTAGTTAAGTTCTTGTAAAGGCCGCCAGGGTTGGAAGGATACGGAGAGGAGGAGCCAAAATTTGCTGGACTTTTGGCAGGTTTTATGGAGAGGTTCCTCATCTCCACCTCCCCTGATGTAATGGATGCTGCTAGGTGACTTAAATGGAAAGCCAGGTGGTGGTGGTAAGGGAAACACTATTAGGTTTTTTACCTTGCACTGTCTCTGCTTGATAGCAACTACAGCAAGAGTCAGAAACCATTTTCAGACCCAAGGCTGTGTTTCTTTATGAGCAACCTTCCTGGGTGAGGCGGGGCTGCATGCTTGTGGGGGCGGGGCCAGAGGCAATAGTGGGTGGAGCAACAGATCAACTTGTGACTCTGGTGGGGGGTGGGATCTGGCGAGAGTCCAAAGGGATAGATGAAGAGGCCTCCTGAACCATACTGGACCCATGAGCTGGTCACTTCCTGGCCTGATATGCAGGCTGGGAACAATCGGAGCTACTGAGCTCTGACTTGCAGCATGAAAATATTATAGTGTTTTTAAACAGCATAAACAACAAATGAACAGGAAGTTATGGTTCACAAGAGAATGGGACATAGCTCTTTCAGAACACTGAACATCTCATTGGAAGGGTGTTAAAGGGCATGGCAAAATTTGGTTACCAGATGGAAGTTTTATTAATAAGCCTTCAGCAGTTACCGTATTATTCGCTCTATAAGACGCACCAAACCATAAGACACACCTAGTTTTTGGAGGAGGAAAACAAGAAAAAAAATATTCTGAATCCCAGAAGCCAGAACAGCAAGAGGGATCACTGTGCAGCGATCCCTCTTGCTGTTCTGGCTTCTGGGATAGCCGCGCAGCCTGCATTCACTCCATAAGACGCACACACATTTCCCCTTACTTTTTAGGAGGGAAAAAGTGCGTCTTATAGAGCAAAAAAATACTGTAAGTGCCCCTCCAGCCTCATTGGAGAGGCTTGATCTTGGCATGTTCAAATATATCAGGTAGGGAAGAGACCCCAGGACACATTTGTGATCTGAGCTTTCTGTTTCCAGAGAACTAAAGCCATGCTCAGGAGCAGGGAATGAGGACCGACAAATCTATCCACTTCAGATTCTCTCTGTTTCTCATTTTTCCCATCGAAAGTTCAATTCTCCACAGTTCTGCAGCATCTTGGAGATTATTTTAAAAAATCCTTATGAAAAGTTGTCAGCATTTCAGTGCCCATTTCTCCAAATATACACATTTTGGGATGCAGTTTTGGCTAATGCACACACTCCGTCAAACAATGTATTCTTATATAATGATATTTTTGACTGTTACTTTCACGGACGTATGTGTTTTAAGGCACACTTTCCAATAATTAGGCATTTTTATACAAACTGGCTGGAGAACTGCATCACAACATTTGGGGAAGTGCAAAGTTTGGTGAATACTGTGATTATGTTTTGCTTTGCACAAGTGTTTGAGAAGTGCAAATCAGGTCGCTTCTCACTGAAACCCAAACAAAACCGAATCTCTCCTTCATCCCTAGAAGCAGACAGGCAATGCCAGTTCAGATATTAGGAAAGCTTTGGCCAACTGCATGCCCTCCAGCACAGCCATGGTGACTGGGGCTGATGGGAGCTGCAGTCCAAAGGAGGAGACCCGGTTAGCAAAGCCCAACACAGAAGCCAGTGGGGATGACGGGAACAAAGTTTGCAATAGCTGAGGGTGGGGTCGCCTTGCACAGCTCTTTCTTCTGCCCTGTGACTTGCAAAGGTGGAATAAATTATCCAAAACAGACAAAAGTGCAGACTCAGTTATGCAAAAGAAGAGCAACAATATGTGTGTGCATAATTCATAGCATCCTACAAGATCAGGCTTTTCTTGCTGCAGCATTTGAATGGCCTTGACCAGCCTTACCAAGCTGCTGTTCTTCAGATCTTGCTGGACTGCGAACCCACCATCCCTGAACTTTCGCCATGCCGCCTGGGGACTGATGGACAGTGAAGCCACAAAATGTCTGAAGGGCACCAGCCTGGGGTCCTGCATTTTAGGGGGTTGGACTAGATGACCCTGGTGGTGGGTGGCCTCTTCTGCTCCTTGCTTTCGAGGGCACAGCCCCCTGTTGTCTGTTTGCCGGTTCTGACTTGGAATCTGCTGCTGCTCACTTAATAGGCTGCGATCATATGATGCGGCACCTCCTGCTTTTCATGGTCCAGAAAACATCACTGAGAAGGCCTGTTGTTTGATTCCTCTCTCCTCCCCTCCCCTTTGCCCCAAGAAACTCACAAGCTACTTTGGGACCGTTTATCTAAAAGCCAAAGATAAAACCCTTTGTGGCCGAGCCTTCCTCATAAATCCTGGCCTGGATTTGGCAGCCTTGGGACGGGATTGCATGTGTGTGTGTGTGTGGTGTGTGCAACTGACTCCCCGGCTTATGTGATAAACGGCGAGTTGGAGGTTGGCTCTTACAGAGTTCTGGAGTGTTTATCTCGCTGGCAAAGTTGTGCAAGGCCTTTCAAGCAGCCACCAAGGGAGCATGGATGTGCCAGGCGGCAGAGCCCGGTTGGCAGGCAGCTTGGCAGCGAGTTCACAGCAGCGCTAATTCTCCCAGGGTGGCTAAGAAGGAGGGACTGTTTAAAGTCCGCGGTCAATCGGTTTCGCAAAGGAAAAGGGGAGCCAAGAGGAAGCTCGCCTCCCACACACCCTTTGCAGCCTCTGTTTTCATTTTTCCAGCTGTGCAAAGAGCAAACGCCTCCAAGGGACCGAAAACTGGACCCAAGACCAGCCCGCAGACCAGCCACGTGAGTTTGTTGGGGATGCCTCCGGGAATCCTGTCGTATGAAATCTGTGCCCTTTGCGAAAAGCACTAACTTTTCTTCCTTTGCAGGAGGGCTTGGCTTTGTTTTCGGGCAAGTTCCAATGTGTTTGTACCGTTCTCCGCACAGATGGAGCGCAGATGGAATGCAGTCTGTGCAGTTTCCACAGACGGGCCCCGAATGTGTGGATGTGGTGGGGAAGAGGCTGTCTTGGCTCTCCATGCAAACCCATGGGGTTCACAGCGATGCGCAAGCAAGCCTCAGCACCCAGACTTGCACAGGAGTGGGGTGTGGGGGGACCAGCTGCAAAATCTGTTGTGCAAGGTCTGCAGTTCAGCGGCAGAGTCTTAAGTTCAGTCTCTGACATCTGAAAAACATCCCGGAAAGCTGCTACAGTTCGGTGTAGCCATTTCTGAGCTTGACTGGCGAATGGTCCAACTTGATCCGACGATCTGACTTGGTACAGTTTACGTGGCGCATCACCTGCAGTGCAAAACAACGCACTCACTGGCACGGCTGTGGCATCAGGGTGTGCAAAAGGGTTTGAAGGAGTGGCATGGCTGAGCAGAAGGATGCTAGGTTTCAAACTCCTGTGTGCTTGAAGCCTGCTTGCACTTAGCGCATGAGAAAGATTGCTGTAAGCTACAGTATAACGCACCTGCTGCCATCAAATTCTAATTTGGTGTGGGCTGTCAGACCTTTGGGTTTCATCTGCGGGTGGGGGGGGGACGGACACTTCCGCAATGCTGCAAGTGTGGGGGGAAGTCTGCCTGGTGAAATCCAAGAAGCCAGGAGGAGGAGAGGACTGAGCTGGATTTTAAGTGCTGGTGATTCTTTTCAGAAGCTTGCTTTGCAGAGACAATGGGGATATCCTCTTCCCTGCCCCCCTTTAATTCCTGTAGCAGCAGGACTGTGGTGTGGTGGATGCTGGAGGTCACATCTGTTTTGACCTCCTTCCTGTAGAGCAGGCAAGGCCGGCTGAGATTTATGCACAGGCCTGCTCCTTCCTTGCAAGATCTGAGCCCATCTTGCAGCTCATGTTTAGTAAAGCCTTGCTTCATTTCCTTGTAAATAAGCTCCGTTGCAACACCTAGCCCAAACCATGGCTTTCATTTAGGCACATTATATAACGCAGCACGAAAGCCAGCTAGCTTCTCTTGGGAAGGTGTGTCTTTGTTGCAAGCTTTGAGAGAGGGGTGAGTTTTGGGAAAGACTGCTTGGATTTTGCTGCTGCAAATGAACCCTTTCATAGCATGACCCAGCTTGAAGTCCAAGCTTCTTAAGCCCATGAGCTCAAAGTATGTTAAGCCACGGAGAGCTCCGTGGGAAGAGGCCAGCTCTGAATCCTGGCAAAGTGGGGCAAGGGGCTTGCTCCTTTACTGCCACTTAGGGGCTGATTCCATTACCGCCTACTTACCTCGTGTTGTGGGCTCCCATGACTAGTTTTTGAAGCTGCACTCATACGCCGTTAGCCGCCTTCCCTATCGATCCTATAGCTTCTTGACAAATTCTGCTGTGTTTGATGTGTGTGTGTGTTTTTCTCAAGCCAGTTTCAGTCCAGCTAGAAAACTGAATGTGGTAATGGGGACATTTCCTTCGCACATGCGCAGGCAATGCTTCAATGAGTAGGAGTTTTGTGGGGGAAATTGGGGGGCAGGGAAACCCCAAAATGGTCATGTGGGGTGTGTGAGAAGACACATCTGCCCCCTCTTTGATGTGAACATCGTTGTGCAAATGTAGCTTGAAATGCATCTGGGGTGTGTGTGTGTGTGTGTGTGTGTGTGTGTGTGTGTGTGACCTCACTAATGGACACACACTCTTTAACCAGTTAGCTTAAACATTACAGAACTGGTGGCTACCTGCCTAGATATCTGGGAGCAGAGCAGGCCACAAACAGATCATGGGGTGAATGTGAACATACCCTTACAGAGAAGCAGCAGCTTGGTGTTGCAGCTTTTTTTGCAGAGGTAGACCCTGTGCTAAGGTGAGAATTGCAAGTCTTCACATCTTTCACTCCAAGGCATACCTAGGGGCTGGCAAAACCAGCCCCTGCTTGGTGGAACAGCCTCCCTCCCCAAAATCACCTATGGAGTTGATTGACATATAGGTGGGTGGCAATGTGCAGCAGAAGCTTCCCATCCTTTTCACACTGTGGCACAAAAGTGTGCAGTTTGGGGGGGGCTCTTCTTTCTTGCCTTGCCCTCACGTAAGATGCTTCGAGTACTGTACTTGGGCCACGTAAAATAAAGTAATTCCTACTGAGGCTATTGCGGTAAAGTGATTTTCCCCCCTGGTGGGGCTGCCAGGGGGGCAAGGGATCCTAAGTGTGCCTTTGCTTTTACTTAATAAATCATTGGTAAAATTTGCCAGCCAGCCCTTTAAAAAACAGCTGTGTAATGGGCACATGTTCCATGGTTCCCACACCACCATGCAGGTGGAATGATGGGGCAAGTTGTTAAAGAGTCAAGAAACCTGAGAACATAGAAAGTTGCCTTCTGCAGAGTCCCCCCATCCAGCTTAGTTTTCTTGACTTTGACTGGCAGTGGGGTCTCTCCAGGATGTTGGTCCGGAGGCAAATCAAATCAAATCCCTTTATTGTCGTCACAGTATAAAACATTTCAAGTTACTGGGATAATTAAAAGGGCAAGGGTGAAGCTGCCAAGGGTCATAAGGTCACACTGTGATCGTGTGCACTTAGATATTCTGCTTCACCCTTGGTCAGGAGTCTTTCCCAGCATCAGCTGGGTTGTACCTGGGACTTTATGCATACGAAGAAGACTATGACAAACTGTTGGTCCACCTAGCTCGGGGTTGTCTGTGCAGATTGGCAATAATAATAATTTATTATTCATACCCCAGCCATCTGGCTGGGTTTCCCCAGCCACTCTGGGCAGCTCTAAACAGAATATTTAAAACATAATAAAACATCAAACATTAAAAAATTCCTGATACAGGGCTGCCTTCAGATGTCTTCTAAAAGTCAGATAGTTGATTATTTCCTTGACATCTGATGGGAGGGCATTCCACCAGGGCAGGGGCCACTGCCGATAAGGCCCTCTATCTGGTTCCCTGTAACCTCACTTCTCGTAGTGAGGGAACTGCCAGAAGGCCCTCAGAGCTGGACCTCACTTTCCAGGCTGAACGATGGGGGTGGAGATGCTCCTTCAGGTATACAGGATCAAGGCCGTTTAGGGCTTTAAAGGTCAGCACCAACACTTTGAATTGTGCTCAGAAACATACTGGGAGCCAATGTAGGTCTTTCAGGACCAGTGTTATATATGGTCTTGGCAGCCACTTCCAATCACCAGTCTAGTGGCCACATTCTGGATTAGTTGTTGTTTCTGGGTCACCTTCAAAGGTAGCCCCATGTAGAGCGCATTGCAGTAGTCCAAGCGGGAGATAACCAGAGCATGCACCACTCTGGTGAGACAGTCTGTGGGCAATGGCTCTTTGGGTTTTCAGGCAGGCAGCTTTTCCAGTTCCACCCTTACCGGAAGGAGAACTTCTCCCCCACATCCCACCATGCAGATGGGGCAAGACATTAGGAAACTGTAGGGGAGGTGGGGGGGTTGAGAGCTGCCAGCCCTACCAGAAGGGGTGAGGGAGAGAGGGAGAGAGACAACAGTGTGATACAGCAAAAAAAGCTAATGCTATTCTAGGCTGCATCAACAGAAGTATAGTGTCCTGATCAAGGGAAGCAATAGTCCTGCTTTATTATGCCTTGGTCAGACCACACTTGGAATACAGTGGTACCTCGGGTTAAGAACTTAATTCGTTCTGTATGTCCGTTCTTAACCTGAAACTGTAATTAACCTGAAGCACCACTTTAGCTAATGGGGCCTCCTGCTGCTGCCGCGCCACCGGAGCATGATTTATGTTCTCATCCTGAAGCAAAGTTCTTAAACCGAGGTACTATTTCTGGGTTAGCGGAGTCTGTAACCTAAAGCGTCTATAACCTAAAGCGTCTGTAACCTGAAGCGTATGTAACCCGAGGTACCACTGTACTGTGTCCAGTTCTGGGCACCACAATTTCAGAAGGATCTTGACAAGCTGGGAGTGTGGGCAAAGGAGGGCAACCAAGATGATCAAGGGTCTGGAAACCAAGCCTTATGAGGAACTGTTGAGGGAGATGGGCATGTTTAGCCTGACAAAGAGGAGACTGAGAGGAGCTACAACGGCCATCTTCAAATATCTAAAGGGCTGTCACATGGAAGATGGAGCAGGCTTGTTTTCTCCTGCTCTGGAGGGTAGGACCCATACCAATGGATTCAACTTACATGAAAGGAGCAGACTCCCATGAGAGGTGGTGGCCTCTCCTTCCTTGGAAGCAGAGGTTGGGTGGCCTTTAGCTGGGATTCCTGCATTGCAGGGGGTTGGACTAGAGGACCCTCGGGGTCCCTTCCCACTCTGCAATTCTATGAGTCTATGAGAGTGTCTGTGTGTGTGGAAAGAGAGAAAGAGATTCCAGGTGGATGTGTTTGCGTGGTGGGTGGATTATCAGCGCAATGAAAGTGGCTGCTGCGTTTCCACTTCAACCCAGTTTGTCCTGTACATTTTCCTGTCAGACCCGAAGATTTGTTTTGTTCCACGGTTTTTATCTTTCCTAAGACGTTATCTCTCCTTTCATTTCCGGCCCTGGGCAAGAAGCATCTTCGTAGGCTGGGTTGCGGCCTAGAGAGTGAGAGAGAGAGAAGCCTCGATTGCTGTTCCTGCTTCTTTTTAAAGGAAAAATATGCACCACACTCCAGCCACATTCCTCCTTTGCTGAGGCTCCTGTAAGATTCAGGGCTGGGTGCTTGCAGCAGGCTTTGTCAGGCGACCTCCCAGGGCCCACCCACCCCATCGCAGGTGCTGACAGTTGCTCCCCCAACCCCACTGGCCTCTGGAGCCTCCTGGCCCTGTTCTTCCTCTGCTTGACCCTTCTGAACAAAAACAAGGGGGGAGGACATGCAGCTTCATCCTTCCCTTCCTTTTGGGTAGTTTTGTTGATTTGGCACTGGGGGAGAGGGCTGGCGATTGGGCCGGATGGCATGGCGAGGAGGAGGGGACCCCACAGAGAATTTTGTGTCCGGCAGTGACCAGGCAGAACCCCACCACTGGAGCATGAAGGCAGCAACCCTCACCCCCAGTTTGCCCCCAGCAATGGGTAGTTAGAGGTAGAGTGCCTCATAACGCGGAGGTTCAGTTTCAGTATTATGGCTGATAAGGGTTCATAGACTTATTATGTCTTCTTCTTTTTTTAAGTGATGGGGGAGGAACCTTAGGCCCGAGGTGTCTGTCAAGGCCTTCTAGGCCAGTGTTTCCCAACCTTGGGCCTCCAGCTGTTTTTTTGGACTACAACTCCCATCATCCCTAGCTAGCAAGACCAGTGGTCAGGGATGATGGGAATTGTAGTTCAAAAACAGCTGGAGGCCCAAGGTTGGGAAACACTGTTCTAGGCCCTCCAAACTCTGCCCAGGATACTTTCCTCACTGACTTTGCTTCACACCCTCCTGGAGTGTCTTTGATCCTGCCTTTTGCTTGCCTCAATGGAGGATAGAAAAGTGGTGTGTGTGTTTTTTGTGTGTGTGAGTGGAAACTAGCCTTCTGTAGAAAGGTGGACAAACTACCCTAGAAGCATAGGAGCCAACTCCTAGGGGCCATGAGTGCTTCGGCCTCCACAATAAAGTATTTGAGGGAGCCGGGCCCCCACAAAGTTGATGGGCATTCCCATTCAAATGGTGTGTATGCACTGCATCATGTGATCAATTATATGGGGTGGGGCTTACCTGGGCCCCCACAGTATTTTATTCAAGTTAGCAAGAAGGAGCGCGACATGTCCCCCACCAGAGGTACTCCCCCTCCTCTAATACCCTAAATATTACCAGGAATATCCAAGGCTTCCTTCCACTGACTTGCACCCTTAGTCCCTCTGTCCCATCACTGTCTGGGCTGTGCATCAACTGCAGCCCCTCCCTGGGGTCAGAGGCAAGAGGGTCTTTCCTATCCTTGAAAGCGGTATACAATTATGCATGGTGTGCAGCTGGATCAGTGAAGAGCCCGGGAGATAGCTGGTTGATTTGTTTGTTTGTTTGTTTACCTCCCCCCCCCCCTTTCTTGAATCTGATCCCCAAGGGCAAAGAAATTCAAGTATTAAAAAACAACAACATGGATCTTACCAGAAAAAAACTTTACTAATTCTCTCTGATAGTAAAGCTTGCGGTCGTCATAGAATCAGACAGTAAGTTATCCTTGGCAATCTATAATGCGAATACAGTGGTACCTCGGGTTAAGTACTTAATTCGTTCCAGAGGTCCGTTCTTAACCTGAAACTGTTCTTAACCTGAAGCACCACTTTAGCTAATGGGGCCTCCCACTGCCGCCGTGCGATTTCTGTTCTCATCCTGAAGCAAAGTTCTTAACCTGAGGTACTATTTCTGGGTTAGCGGAGTCTGTAACATGAAGCCGTATGTAACCTGAAGCGTATGTAACCCGAGGTACCACTGTATATTGCTTTGCATTTCAGAGCCCTGCATTTCATGGTGCGAATGTGGAGGGGTCCGCGCACTCAAATCTCCCCCTGAAAAATCCCAGCTGCAAGTCCTCACAGGGGACGAAGAAGAGCCACTACGTCTGTAATCCCAGCCATCGGTCGTATGATGAACTAATCAGCCAGGCGGGTGATAACCCTTGTGAGTTGGATACATCTTGAAAGGGGACTGAAGAAAGTCTTTTAATCTTGGCACCTTGTTGTGGAAGGCAAGGGGGGTCCTGTTCCCCCATTTCCTTCCCTTCCAAATATACACGGATCTGTCAGGCTCTTTGGTTGGATTCCCAGGTACAAAATGCAATAATGGAAGGTCCCTCCGACACAACAGAGAGAACTCCCAGCATGGCAGGGTGGGGGCAGTTCTGGATTAGCCCTCCCCCAGACGCAGTTGTCCGCTATGTTCATGCAGAAGGTCGCTAGTTCAATCCCTGGCATCTCCAGATAGTGCTTAGAGAGAGAGAGAGAGACACCTGCCTGAAACCCTGGAGAATTATTTATTTATTCCTAAAAAAACCCCATATTTCACAAGAAACACTTGCAATGCAAGAAACTCCGCCAAGTAGGCAAACCATTTCAGGCACCCCATAACAAATAAAACGCAGGCGAAATAACAGGCAATATATTTGCCAAAAACAAACAATCCCTCCAAAAAAAATAAATTATACTTATGTTTTATTTGTACACATATAGATAAAATATTGTACTTCTTTTGTAATGATCTTGTCTTTTGGGGGGAAAATTTAAAAGGGGCTTTTCTGGTGCCAAGTTGGTATCAGAGGGTACAGAGGTGCCCACGGACTCCACTTTGGGGACCCTAGCATTAGTATCAATAAAGCCTTTGCAGCTGCTCAGGTCTTTAGGAGAGGGGGAAATTGAAACATCATCTGCCTGTGCAATGCACGAGTGGTCTTTGTGTGATGAATTGCACTTCAGTTTCAGTTGAATATTGCACGTGCTTGATTTCGTTTATTTGTAAGCCGCCAACAAATGCGGGGAAGGCTAAAAATACCGAGTCGAAAAATGCATATATATAATTAAAGTAATTATCTTCTGCACAGTGGGCTCTTCTTCCTCGCTCCCCCAATAAAAACAAGCACCTGCTATCCCTTTGCAAAGAATCTGCAGGTGGTTTGGGGATCCAGGATGCTTATGTTGCCCGTTCATAACTGGGCATGGAATTGTGACTCGGGGAAAACATGATTTACTCCGCACGCTCAGTGTGAAGCTTGATCAAAGGAAACTGCCGGGATCAGATCATTCGCCTTGTTCTGGGCGTGTCAGGGACAAGGGCTGCCTTCATGAGCTGCTCTAATGCCTTCTTGGCTGCTACAGGGAAACATCTGGCTGGGCGGCAGATTTCGTCGGAGAGAGGGCGATGAATTCATGTTCGTCTTTCTCTCTCAGCAGCCACACGATGAGCCCCCTGTGGGGGATGAGCACCCCCATCTGTCCGTCAGTCCGACCCCCACATCTGGAACTTGAACCGGGAATCTCTCGCAGGTGCTTTCTGCACGGCTGACGCTGGAGAGATCTCAAGAGCAGGAGCCCCTGGACCGCTGCTGGAGGTAAGCCGTCGCTATGGCAACGCCAGGGATGTTCGCGGAGCTAGGCTGGCTGTTATGACACAGGGATATGCTTTGACAGAGGGGGTTTTCCTCTCCGCACGGCTGGGAAGAGCAGGTCGGTTTTGTAGCAACCGCGACTGGACCTGATCTGGGGAGAGTCTGGCGTTGTGCTTCCGATACAACCGAGCCAAGACAATGGAGATCTGGGTTACGCTGAGCCACCAGGTAACATTTCCCCGTCTGAAAGCCATAATTTCTTGTGGAATAATGAGAGGCGTGTGAGTGAGAACATGTGTGTCTTTGGTTTGGCGGGGAGCTTCCTTGTTGAAAGCATCAGAAGCAGACACAGAGCGTAGAAGCTTTGCTCTCTTTCTCCCTTCTGAGTGGGCTTCCCAGCCAGGAAACCCTTTAGAGATGTAAATGGAGTGAGACAGGCGTGGATACCCGGCTTTTTCCGCCTTCGCCGGAGCCCTGTAAACGAATGAACCAATTCCACACTAGTTCATTTGCAAAGATCTAATGAGGAAGAATTTAAATGCACGTGCGTCGCATGTCGGGGAGTTTCCCCACACATTACGTTAAGTTGTGATTGTTGCATGAAATTAAGCGCCGGTGGATTTTCCCCTTCCACTGTCTCTCTGCATGATGTTCTGGGTGGATTCCGAAGGAAGTTGGCTTTCCATTTCATGCTTGGGTAGCCGGAGCTGGAATTCTGAGGCAGGGGAATGAAGGATGCGGAGGAGAGGAGCAGGTTTAATTTGATAAAGGCTGGGGCTCCTGCATCTGGTCGGATGTGGGAAAATGAAGACAGAGCTGAGTCTGGAATCTTTCCTCCCTGGAGCATCTCTGTGCTTGCAGGAAGAATCCAGCTCTCTCAGCCACATGGTCTGAGATGTTCATGTAAAGCTGTGTGGGGTGGTAGATATGTGGGTCAGAGAGTGGGCACATCTATCTATATCTATCTAGATCAGGCATCCCCAAACTCGGCCCTCCAGATGTTTTGGGAATACAACTCCCATCATCCCTAGCTAACAGGACCAGTGGTCAGGGATGATGGGAACTGTAGTCCCGAAACATCTGGAGGGCCGAGTTTGAGGATGCCTGATCTAGATATAAAATTGTCAAGCACTGCAGTCAGTGGGGGCAGATGATGCAGACTTTTATAGGGGGCAGAATTCACACCAGAGAACCCCTGAGATGAAGTGTATGTATGCTGGGGTGGGGGGAAACCAGCACAATCTGCCCCAAAAATTCTTTTATGGAGGGAAGGGCTCTTGGAACAAGGGAAAATCTGACTGTCCTGTTGACCAGAAAGGAGAGAAAGGGGTACGTGAGCCAGCCCTATCCAATGATCCTCTGGGACATACTCTGTGCTCTTGCTTTGCACAATGCCCCCTGCCCTTCAACTCTATGCTTCCTCAGAGCCCTTTATGGGCTTTGGGCTGATTCAAGCAACGGTTTGTGAACCAGGTTCTAAAAGGCTCTTGGTGACTGTAGTGTTGGCTATCAGGATCAGTAATTGCAGGCACCAGCAGAGAGGTGTTTCCAGCGCTCTCAGTGCCCTGGCAGGAGAAGCCAGGCTTTACTACATCAGGGAAGGGGTAAGAATGCTAGAGTTGGAAACGGGGCTTCCCACAGGTGGGGAGGGCGGCTGCTACAGGCACTTCCGATCTGGCTGAGACTGGCTCACAAGCTGCTATGTGCATTGGCAGTTGTAGTGAAGCTAACAAGGAGCTTCCTCAGGCTTTGCCTGGAGGTTACTCACTTCCATTCCCCTCTTTGCTGGTGGTGGATCTGAAACTTGAAATTAGTCGGTTGGTCAGTCGAATCTGGTAGGTTTGTAAGTCAGGGTGTTGTGAGCCCTGATTTGGGTCTATTTTCATAACTCAAACAGAGATATATTATGAACTGAATATTTTCCGTGCTTGCATGGTTACAGGACGAAGAGCAGATCAACACCATACTTTTAAAGCACATTGAATGCACCTTTAAAGCACATGGCTTCCCCAAAAGAACACTGGGAACTGTAGTTCCCCCTGCTTGCAAAGCTATAGTTCCCAGCATCCTTAAGAGGCTGCAGCTCCCAGGATTCTTTGGGAGGAACCATGTGCTTTAAATGTGTTTTGGATGTGTGGTGTGGATCTGCCCTAAGCAGCCAATTCCCACTACCATTGCACATGCTCAGTTGTTTGCTGCCCTTTAATTTCTAAAGGAAATGAAAACATCCCATTTGCACGTGAGGAGTGTTGGTTTCGCTCGAACTATTTGGCAAAGGGGGCCAATCCGTTTGAGCTGTGGCTCCCTGCCAAACTACCATTGTAAACCTGCAGGTCTCCAGGCCTTTTGATTCGGCCCTTTTCCAGGCCATACCCTTTCCTCAGACCACACCCCTTACCAGCCCTGTTCTACCCCATCCTCAAGTGCTTTTGCCTGGCCGGAATGTGCCCTTGAGTTGCGGGAGCATCTCACTTCCCTAAGGCGAAGGCTAGACAAACACCTGACTTCAGCTGAGCGTAGGGCAAGAGTCACATCCGTAGCTCCACCCACTTTTAGCCTCTTGCCTTAATAAAAATATAAATAATAACATTTTATTTATATCCCGCCCTCTCCAGCCGAAGCCGGGCTCAGAGCGGCTAACAACAATAAAAGTAACACAGCATTCTAAAATCAATTCATTCTAAAATCATTCAAAATCAAATTAATGGTAACCATTGGGCTAGAGTTCTGTGAGACTGTGTCTTGGCCAAAGGCCTGGTGGAACAGCTCTGTCTTGCAGGCCCTGTGGAAAGATGTCAAGTCCCGCAGGGCCCTAGTCTCTTCTGACAGAGCGTTCCACCAGGTCGGGGCCACAGCCGAAAAAGCCCTGGCTCTGGTTGAGGCCAGCCTAGCTTCCCTGTGGCCCGGGACCTCCAAGATGTTTTTGTTTGAAGACTGTAAGGTCCTCCGTGGGACATACCATCAGAGGCAGTCCCATAGGTACAAGGGTCCTAGGCCGTATAGGGCTTTAAAGGGTAAAACCAGCACCTTAAACCTGATCCTGTACTCCATTGGGAGCCAGTGCAGCTGGTATAGCACCAGGTGAATGTGATCCTGCGGCAAGGACCCCGTAAGGAGTCTCGCCGCTGCATTCTGCACCTGCTGGAGTTTCTGGGTCAGTCTCAAGGGCAGCCCCATGTAGAGTGAGTTACAATAATCAAGTCTGCCTTGCCCCAAACTGGCAGGTAGCCCCCAGACGGCTGCAGAGGAGGCAATGTGGCCCTCGGGCTGGAAAGCGCATGTAATAATAAGCAGTCCGGGAAGGGTGAATCAGGAGATGTGACGCTGCAACGCGAGGGGAGGAAAAGAGCAGCATGTGACGTGTGCAGCCTTTGCAAGATGCATTTGGGTAACGCAAGCACGAAGCTCCAAAGAAGCCCTCTAATAGGAGAGGGTTTTCCTCATGGTTTATTATGCTGGATTCGTAACACAGTGAGCAAATGGTGAGGAGGTTGTTTCGCTCATCCCTTCTCATTACAGAGCTGAGCGCTCTCGCTCTCTTCTGTGCAGGATCTGCCCATCAGCTGCCTTTCCCCCCCCCTTCATGGGAGGGGGATGGAGAATAACAGGGGCTTGCCCTCTGCAAGAAGGCCGTCCTTCCTTCCATTATGGATATATTACTATCTATTCTATGGGTATAACAACCAGCATTTGCGCATCGTATTGGAAGTGCAGCAGGCTCCTGTCACCCTTAAACCAGTTCTGGTCTTGCTGTTATCCCCATATTCCAGGTGGAAGACTGAGGCATAGTTCCCAGTGCAAGGGAACCTTGTTTGTAGCAGAGGCAGGGTTGCCAACATTTTTATTGGCCCTTGTTCCTCTCCCTTTAGCAGCAGAAATTAAATAGCTGCTGGCATGCTGAAATCTAGCAGGCGGACCTCTTCCTGGCATGGAGGTTTTCAATGGGGAAAGGCTTCAAACCTGATAAATTGATGCATGCTGACAGCTGCCAAGGGCGCAAAAGGGGAGCCAGATTTCTTCTTTTTGCAAGACTTGGCATTTGCGCCAGGGGACTCTGAAGTTTGTGGCCACACTACCAAGCCCTTTGAATCGGAACTTGCAGGAATACCCCCCGAAGGCTAAAAATACACTAGCTGAAAACTTTGAGCTGAGCCTTGATGGTTTGCCCTGGGAAGGAGGAATGCCTTTTAACGTCCTTTCCTGTGGCAGGGGCCCAGCCCAAAACAATGGCAAGTGGTTCAAAATGCTGTGTGGCCCTGTTTCTCGGCCAACGGTGCACGGCAGACTGTGAAATCCGGCCGGGGCTAACCTAGTTTTCCTGCGTTACTACAAGGAACTTTCTGTCTTGCTTCTGGGACAGGCTCTGCTCCCTTCCCCCCACCAACCTCTGAGCTCCCCCCCCCCCCCGCCTTCCAGACAATGTGCTCAGCGATTCACATCCTCCATGAGGCCTTCTCAGAGGAAAAACAGTGGCTGGTGTGGGGCTGGGTTGCCGCCAAAGCTCAGCGCATTTGGCCTTCATCTGACAAGGAGCACAATGCAAACCCCTCACCCCACTTATGGTGTCAAAGAGACGGCGAAGTCTGGAGTCCGCGCTGTTCCCATCCAGGTGGACACTGAGTTTGGGATGCTTCTGAAATTCCCCTCATCTGACTTTTGGATTGGATTGGAGAGTTCTGGGTGGCATTAAAAACACTCCTTTTGTCCTATTTATATACAATGTCCAAATCATGCTCAGTCTGCTATCCCTTTCAGTTCCTCTGGGACTTTCTCCCCCAGTCCTCTAAAAGTGTATGTTGCAATACACAAAACACCGACTCTGGACAAGGGCCGTAGCCCAATGATCTGGGAGAGCATGAGACTTTTAATCTCAGGCTTGTGGGTTCAAGCCCCACGTTGGGCTAAAGGTTACTGCATTGCAGGGGATTGCACTCTCGTGGTCCCTTCCAACTCTACAATTCTATGATTCTGTGCAGGAGGACCTCGGTTCCAGGAGGGCCAAT